CCCCGGCTGGGGAATTCTGGGAGTCGAAGTCCACGCATCTTAAAGCCGCCGAGGTTGAGAAACGCTGCCCTAGAGAGTCACGAGGGGAGAAGGCTGATCCGAAACCTGCGTGGGGCGGAGGAACCTGAGGCCTGCTAGACCCCGGATGTCAGTTCCCATCATCCACAAACGCCGGGAGCTGCCGACTGGGGTCAGTGGAAGCAGCAGCCAGCGCCATCTCCAGGCACCAAGATCCTCCACACCTTCCCCAGAGCGGAGTGAGGTCAAGCTCTGTAAGGAACAAGGACCGGAAACCGCCTAAGAGCTACACCCAAATCTTCCAGCTGAAAAACACAAGAACGACCCACTCTCTCGACCACTCCGGCAGCACCATCCTACCTCGAGGTCTTTTCACCTCCCCGCCCTGTTTCCCGGAAGCCCAGAGCGAGATTTCTCGCCCTCCCAGGCGCAGCAGAAGACCGTGTTCGAGAGAGACTTTTTTTTTTTCCCAAAGGAGTTTATTAAAAACAAGGTGGTGGAAGAAACAATAGAAGGTCCTTTGCTCGCAGCCCTGAAGGCTGCCGTGAGTGTCCAGCACAAGGGAAAATAAGGAGGCATCGCCAACAGCCACCGCGGGGGAAAACAGCTCAGCTGCGCTCCCAACTCGCCTCCCGTTCCGTCCCTGATCGCCCTAGGCGAGCCCACCCACTCTCGACACACCTGCCCCATCTTCCAGAGAGAAAACCAGCCTCTCCTGCCCTGCCTTGCTGGACTTTTTGTTCTGTTTTGTTTTTTTCCAAATGGGGGGGGGGTGCTTGCAACAAACGCAAAACGTTTTTTAAGGCAGCCCGGAGAACTGGTCTCAGGTCCGTGGCAGCACCTCCCAAGGAGATTTTTGGAGAGGGGGGGCGAGTCCAGGACGACCAATTCTTGTGGCTCAAGCCTGGCCCCTCCCCATTTTCAAAAATGGGAACAAAAAAGGATGGTTGGGGGGAAGAAAGGAAGGCATCAAGGCTGCAGGGGGCCCCTCATCCGGCCTTCCGCCGAGGTGCCGTTTCTGCCTAGGAAGCCCAGTGCTGGCCCCACGGAGCCCAAAAGAGCTGCAGGGGGCGGGGGGGCAGAGAGATGGGGAAGTGCACTATGTGGCACCACAATCACGCACACACACACCTACGCAAAAGTTTAAGGCAACGGTCCTGTTTGGCTTTGAGGTTCCCGAGAGGCTTTGTCCA